AGATAGATAGATAGATAGATAGATAGATAGATAGATAGATAGATAGATAGATAGATAGATAGATAGATAGATAGATAGATAGATAGATAGATAGATAGATAGATAGATAGATAGATAGATAGATAGATAGATAGATAGATAGATAGATAGATAGATAGATAGATAGATAGATAGATAGATAGATAGATAGATAGATAGATAGATAGATAGATAGATAGATAGATAGATAGATAGATAGATAGATAGATAGATAGATAGATAGATAGATAGATAGATAGATAGATAGATAGATAGATAGATAGATAGATAGATAGATAGATAGATAGATAGATAGATAGATAGATAGATAGATACAGACTGGCGAATGGACAGATGGAATGATAGATGTATGGTAGCTTACTGATACATCTTCTTATTTCTGCATTTATTGCGTATCTGTTGTGAGGGTCAATGAGTACGTGTATATACACACACAAATACTGACACTCACAAACGATGCCAGAAAGAAACCGAAACATAAAAGATCTATCACACCAGCACTTCTCAACATGTGGGTCGCAACCACACAAGGAGTAGCCAAATGCGCGTATTGTGAGCGTGTTTATGTGTATGTGCATATGTGCGCGCGTACGTGTGTTTGAGTGGAGAGAGAGAGAGAGAGAGAGAGAGAGAGAGAGAGAGAGAGAGAGAGAGAGGGAGAGAGAGAGAGAGAGAGAGAGAGAGAAGGGGATGAGCAATGGTTATTTTTAATTAAGTCTACGATAAATTTCTAACACGAAGCTTTTCAAAATATTTATGTAGTTGAGGGTACCACCATCAATGTAAGGGTCTAATCGAATAACCCTAGCCTTCTTGCTTAATCGTAACTTCTCATCTCCAACAACATGTAAGCAGTTGGTGTGCTGATAACTTATCCTGCCTTGACGACAACAGGCTGTCAAAAGTTCCCTCTCGCTTTCTTTCTCTATCTCTTCTTCCATAAATCTTTCACAAGATGTTCCATATTTTTCCCCTTCTCATAATCTAGCCCAAAACAGGACGAATGCATCTCTCTGATGTTTGCGATAAATTCGCCGTGCGTCTTGGCCTCTTTCAAAGCATGTGGATTATCTGCTTGTAGTTGTTATTGGAATGTGAGGTCATTCTTCTGTAGATCCATGTCTATGCATATGCAGTCTCGGGATTATTTTTCTTATGTTTGCAATTTTTCCTGGATTCGCAACCTGCTATTATCTATTTTAGTCCCAAGCAATGCCTGATATGTTAATGAATCTGCCTATTGACACCAACCCCCCCCCCCCCCTCATCCCCTTTTCATAGCATAATGTGCTCTCAATATTTTTTTTCAAACAGAACACACTCAGGAAATCTGGTTTTTCCAAAGGATCACTATCACTGGGAATTGTGTCACTTTGAAAGTAATTTATTCACGATTTTTCATCATTGTTATTTCTTTACCTTGTCTGTCTCTCATATCTCACTTCCCTTTCTCTCTCGGTGAATAACCATATACTCACCAAAAAGAGAACGCCAGAGAGAGAGAGAGAGAGAGAGAGAGAGAGAGAGAGAGAGAGAGAGAGAGAGAGAGAGTGAATAAATGACTGAGATACAGTTATTCTGGATAAAGTAACATAGACTTGGACTGGAACGGTCAACGGAGTAAGGATTAAACGCAACATAGACTTGGACTGGAACGGTCAACGTGGCAAGGATTAAACGCAACATAGACTTGGACTGGAACGGTCAACGTGGCAAGGATTAAACGCAACATAGACTTGGACTGGAACGGTCAACGGGGTAAGGATTAAACGCAACATAGACTTGGACTGGAACGGTCAACGTGGCAAGGATTAAACGCAACATAGACTTGGACTGGAACGGTCAACGGGGTAAGGATTAAACGCAACATAGACTTGGACTGGAACGGTCAACGGGGTAAGGATTAAAAGCAACATAGACTTGGACTGGAACAGTCAACGGGGCGAGGATTAAACGCTACATGGACTTGGACTGGAACGGTCAACGGAGCAAGGATTAAACGCAACATAGACTTGGAATGGAACGGTCAACGGGGCAAGGATTAAACGCAACATAGACTTGGACTGGAACGGTCAACGTGGCAAGGATTAAACGCAACATAGACTTGGACTGGAACGGTCAACGTGGCTAGGATTAAACGCAACATAGACTTGGACTGGAACGGTCAACAGGGCAAGAGAAAGCCCCAAGCAAATACACTGCAGGCCGCTAAAGACGATTTCAAATGTGGTAAATTTATGTTGTGAAGAACAACTTGTTTATCTCCGAAACTTTTTCTTGCTTGAAATTTTGTCTGGGTAAGAGGAATTTATGATAACCAGAACCATTCTTGGGGTACTCGGTGAGTTCACCTTACAAGGGCTGCACCGCAGAACCAAACGTCTCCATTAGACATCTTGGTATCAGCTCGACTACTTTGGCTCTAAAACTACTCAAAAATTTGAGAAAACAAGATAACATTACATCTTTATTTCACTACAAATGTCTTGTTTATGCAAATGTGTGGGTGTGCGCAAGGTGATTACAAAATTAGGTCTTTGGATTAAAAAAAAATTGCATACGGATTACTTTTTACTGTTAAATGGATTTTAAAAGAGTATCCAGTTTTTGTTTTTTTTTTGTTTTTTGTTTCTTCTAATAAATAACTTCTGATACAACTCGCTTTACAGAATTCGCTCAATAATCAATTGTATCTTTAATTCTCTGCTCTTTGATGATGGTCCTGGGAAAGTAAAGACAGCTGGCGTAATGCTGACCACATTACCCACCGAGTGCTGATGGTGTGTGAAAATATGGGACGCTCTGCCCATATGCCCGATGCGCCGAAAGGCGTGAAAATGGATCTTTACTTTTACTTTGAGTATTTAGATTTGTCACTGTCTCTTTAGCCCTTTGAGTTTCAGAGCATGGGGTCAGGCTTGACAAAGGAGTGAAGCATAAGGCCTTTTAACTCTGTGGTCTCCAACCTAGAGGGCGACACCCCCCCCCCCCTTTTTCCAGTGGGCATAAAGGGGCTGCAAGCTGGGTGAGAGAGGGGGTGAGCAATGTAGAAAATGAGTGCATTTGCACTTGTAATCCGTTGTATTACATTCTGTTTTAGTTCAATTATAAATCAAATATTTCAAAACATATTTACTAAACAAAACGACAAAAACAAATTTCTTTTAGCAGTTTATATCTGCCGTTTAAAATGTAATCAATATGATTACATGCGCATTAAATTACAGATTAAGAACACTATCTGACGAAAACGTATCTCCATACTTTAAATTCCCCTTGTTACGGAATATATTGTCCTTCATGTTTTGATTATATTTTGTTGTGTTGGGGGAGGAGGTGGGAAAAGAGAGGAAAAAAAAGAGGGGGGGGGGGGGTTGTCTTTCCATATACTCGATGGGGCGTAGGGGTCTTGTCAAATACTCAAGGAGCGTAGGGGTGTTGACATATGCTCACGGGGCGTGTGGGTCTTGACATATACTCACGGTGCGTAGGGGTCTTTCCATATACTCACGGGGCGTAGGAGTCTTGTCATATACTCACGGGGCTTTAGGGTCTTGTCATATACTCAAAGGGGCGTGGGGGTCTTGCCATATACTAAAGGGGGCGTATGAGTCTTGCCATATACTCAAGGGTCGTAGGGATCTTGACATATACTCACGGGGCGTGGTGTTCTTCACATTTACTCAAGGGGAGCGTAGATTTTTTTGTCATATACAGGGTGCTACCTGGAAAGAGTTGGAGACCGCTGATTAAATATAACGAACACCATCCCGTTTAGCTACATACATATATATCTTCTTTCTTTAACCACACCCCTCCCCGCCCCCCCCCCCCCCCCCCCCCCCGCCTAATCTCTCATCCGTCCTTCCAATGTGCCCTTAAATTGTCACATTAGTTCGTTCAGTCCCATAAAACTGTTACTTTAACTCATTATATGCAAACAGTTTGTAATTTAATTACAAAATTCATGAATTTATAGCACTTAAGAAAATAACCCTATAAGGAAGAGAGGGTTAAAATGACAGAATTAACAAAGTTAAAGTAACCACTGATCAAGGCATAATGAATTGTGAAAACCACTGTGTGTGATAAAGTAAACAATGAACGTACATTTAGCTGCCTGGTATCGAATGAGTTAAGGCACACATGTGTACTGCGCCTTTTTGCCATGCCCCTATTCGCATTGCTTTCCCAGATAAAGCGATAACTGCTGCAATCAGGCTTTGACATGAACGTGACCCTTTCAACGCTCGCATATATTAGGTGAGTCACATCTGTGCGAGACTCGCTGACCAGCCCCATACCACCTAGCCATCGCCATAGGGGAGTCAGTTTTGTAACCACGTGGTTGCAAATTGGTACCAGATTGCACTGTGATAATACTTGCAAGCATGGGAGCGCATGCACACACATGGGACATACACAAATGCATTTATATCCATATGAACGCACACCATATGTACCTATAAATGTGCATGCAGATATACATACACAGGTGTGATGGTGCTTAAGCATTTATTTAAGGATTCATTTTTTTCCCATTCCATCGGCACTCGGTGGGAGATGTGGTTAACATCGCACCGGCCGCTTTTACTTCCCCTGTAAATGACGACCGTCTCGATTTCGTGTGTGTGCTATAGATTATGACTAAGGTATTTATAAAATCCAGATTACCAAGCACCCAGGTCGACCCAGCATTCAGCAGGTATCAGGTGCATCCTGGGAAGTAAAGGCGACCAGCGTGATACTGACCATACCCAATAAGTGCCGACTGGTCCATAAAATATAGGTCTAGCCTATATGCCCAATATGCCTAAATGCATGAAAAGGGTACTTTACTTTACTAGATTACCGAGCATCAAAAGCGACTAAAGGGCACTAAAACTAATACAAATCAGACAAAGAAGCATCATATATTTATAAAAGCTTGCCAGTAGATACCAGTAGATAATGGTACTCACCTTAGAGGCGTCCAGAATACAAGGAGGAGGGTACAGAATAAAATGCCGCAGCGTGAAGCCAAATCCGTACTCGGCACGGGGAATCAGTAGAGTGCGCGGCTGAGGCCAGTCTCGCAGCGAGCCGCTCCGGCTGCCTGCTCTGGAATTCTGGAATACACAATGATAAGGAAATACATGAAGTGTCAGGGGGATGGATGTGTATCTCCGGGCGGCATATTCAACAGCGTTTGTTTGTAGGTTTGCAGAAACTTCGGAAGTGCGTTTCGTTGTTTTCTTGGTCTGCTGACTGTTGAGCTGGTTGTTGTCTCTATTTGCCTCCTCTGCTGCTTCTTTTTCTTCTTGCTCTTCTCCATCTCCCCCTTCCACTTTTTTCTTCTCCTGCTTCTTCTTCTTCTTCTTCTTCTTCTTCTTCTTTTTCTTCTACCCCTGTCTTCTTCTTCTTCTTCTTCCTAATTCATCGTTTAGTGTTATTCTCCCACATGTGTCGTTATCTAGCACTTGCTCGATTTCCTTCAATTTCTCTCCCCAGAACCGTTTTATTTATACGAGTTTTCTTTCTTTTAATATGACAGAAATTCCTCGCCTTCTTCTTTCTTCCTCCATCCCTCTTCTTGCAGTCGTCACTCTTTACTATTACTCAAATGGACCACTTACTACAATATGTTTGACTGATAGGTTCCTCTGTAGCTTACCGTTGAGACGGAATCTATGTTACTGTCATCAATATTGTATTACCAACTATCCTTGTGTGGGATCACAGCCCTTCTGGGGACGGAAGGGAAAGGAGATTACACTGTACCTCAAACACGTCGTAAAATGCGACAAATTAAATTTTAAAAAAACTTGTTGAAAATTGATTACATGTGCTAAAACTTGTAGATATCACAGCCTAGCTTTAAACCACAACACAACGTGCCAACTGCCCTTCACAGACGAAAAAAAATTGGGGGGGGGGGGGTGGGACCAATACATAAACTATATTAAAAATGACATTTAACAATGAACAGAAAAAAGCGTTTACAGTGGTTATTCCCGCGCCGCGGATCGGAAGGTCGTTGGTTCGCTCCCTGGCGGAGCCGGACTTTTCTTTTAAAAAAATGACCCTGAATCCTAGGTCGACCCAGCCCTGAGTGGGTACCGGGTGCAGTCCCGGGAAGTAGAGGCGGCCGGCGTGATGCTGACCACATCGCCCATCTTGTGTCGTTGGTCTATAAAGTATAGGTCTAGCCCTATATGCCCTATACGCCTAAAGGCGTGGAACAGGGTCCTTTACTTCACTTTTTTTATGGTGGTTATTAGCCAGTTTGTTTAACCAAATTGTGTGGACACTAAAAAATGTTTACGTGGACAGTATTTAAAAAAAAATCGTGCATCAAATACTTAGCCACCAGTAAAAAGACACATCTCACAGTCTTCAGGCGTATTGGGCATATAGGGCTAGGTCTATATTTTATAGACCAATCGGAACTCAGCGGGTGATGTCACCAGCTGTCAGAACACATTTACGAAGGGTGTGAAAACTTTACTATTTCTTCTTTTCTTCTCAGCATTCCCTACACTGCGTGGACAGTTCTGGTTGTTTATTCACATCTGGAGATTTAGCCTTGTTCCAGAACTTGTTTCGTGCATTTCCGTTTTACATATCTGGCCTATGTATATGCAGACTGTTGGTTCATTCTCTCGCAGGCAGATGCAATCCGACTTCGAAGGAAATAACCTCCCTAATTAGTCGCCCTGTATGAATTGCTTATTAGGCGGCAGTGGGACTATCCCATAACCTCCCACTTGGGGATCGGAACCCCCACGAGGCACTAACTGCTTGTGAACCAAACGATGAAATCCAAAACCGAATCCGCAACATTCAAGCTCGAGGTAAACAATTCAGCCACTACGCCAAGGAGATCCCACCGGAAACTTTAAACTAATTACACACACACACACACTAAGAAAGAAAGAGATAAAGAGAGTGAGCGAAAGAGAGAGATAGAGACAGAGAAGAAATGTGGTCAACAAGGAAGATTGCACCTGTGCCTGGAGCAATCAGTTTCTCTCTCGTTGGTAGGGCTGCCGAAATGTTTTGGTAATATAGTGGTACCTCGGGTCACGAACTTCATTCTTTCTTCGACTGTGTTCGCGAACCGAAATTCTTTGTCCGTTACTTTAGTGATGTACCTTTTTTCGTTTGGTTTTTACACAGTTGCTTTAACTGCGTCCAATTGGTGTAATTGATCTCCTGCAGCAATAATCTTGATCTCGTCAATGTATTTTATTGTTAATGTCTTCGCGGAAGAGCAGAGAGAAAATTAAAACGCACCTAAACAGAGGCCGTGGTACCAAAAGTATAGTTCTGCTCAGTAAGTGTAACTTACAGAACTTACAGGCCCTTCGGAGGAAAGTACCAACTTCGGCAGGCCTGGTTGTTGGCACGCAACTGGGTTATTGACTAGGTAAACGTCTATGCCGCGGAGATAGCTAAAAAAGGGATGAAAACAAATATCTCTATCTATATATCCATCTCTCTCTCTCTTCCTCTCTCGCTCTCTCTCACACACACACAGATACACACATCTGTGTCTGCAGGAACCAGTCGTGTCTTATTGATAGGCAACTGGGTTACTCACTAGGTAAACGACGTAGCAACTATTCTAGGAAGATCCCCACAAAAGGGAGAAAAACTAATCACTCTCACTCTCAGAGAGAGAGAGAGAGAGAGAGAGAGAGAGAGAGAGAGAGAGAGAGAGAGAGAGAGAGAGAGAGAGAGAGAGATAGAGAGAGCGAGGGAGAGAGAGAGATAGAGAGAGAGAGAGAGAGAGCGAGAGAGAGCGAGAGAGAGAGAGAGGGGGGGGGGCTACAAGGGAGATAACATATGTGCCTGAATGAACCAGTCCTGTTACGTTGGCAGGTAAATGGGGAGGTCCTGATACCAGTAAGGCGAAATTCAGTGCAAACGCAGTCAAAGGGATACTGTGACACGGCAAGGAAAGTGAACGTTTGAACCCAATATCCCCGTGTGGGACACAAACAAGGCAAAGATAACAACTAACATGTGTGTGTGTGTATATATATGGTAGACACAATCTGACTTCGAACGAAAAAATCTAATTAGTAGCCTTGTACGAAATGCTTGTTTGGTGGCAGTGGGTCTATTCTCCCCACCCCCACCCCCTCTTTTCCCTCCTCCACTCGGAACATCGGAACCCCCACGGGGAACTACTCGTGAACTAAACGACGTCACCCAAAACCGAATCTGTGATATTTAAGCTCGAGGTGAACAATTTAACCACTACGCCTGGAAGATCCACGGCATAGTGAAATTACAGACACACACAGCTAAACTGAGACAGAAAGAGAGAGAGAGAGAGAGAGAGAGAGAGAGAGAGAGAGAGAGAGAGAGAGAGAGAGAGAGAGGGCGCAGAGAACGAAGGAGAGACAGAGAGATGCAGTCAACTAGGCAGACTGCATCCAGGCGTGCCTGTAGAAATCAGTTCCTGTCTTGTTGGCAGGGCTGCCACAATTTTCTGAGAATACATTGCGACTTTGGGTCACGAACCTAATTGATTCATTGACTGTGTTCGCGAATCGAAATTCTTTGTCCGTTACTTCATTGATGTCCGCCCCCGCCCCCCCCCCCCCCCCTTTTCCACCCCACACCTTTTTTTTTTTTTTTGCTGGGGTTATTACACAATTGCTTTAACCGCTTCAAGTTGACGTAATTAATGTCCCGGAGCAATAATTTTGTTTTGCATCAATGCAGATGGGAAGAAGCCTAGACATAGTTGATATCGTCAACACTGTACAGGGATAATGACGAATCTCTGATGCTAATACGACTACGTGACCGAAGAGTTAGGCTTCGTCAAGCACGACTATGCCGTATTCGAAGTAAAGAGGAGATACTATAACCAAATCCTCATTGTAACAATCAGTAGAGGTACCTTGGAGTGGCTGCTGCATCGGAGGACTGAGCACGCATGGAGATGTAGAATGTGCAAAGTCGTCTATTGTGATAACTTAATATGTACCATAACATAATAATTTTTATCTTGATTTCGTAAATGCATTTATTGTTAACTTCTTCGCGGAAGAGAAGAGAGAGAGAATTGAAACATATCAAAACATCGGGTGTGGTACCAAAAGTACAGTTTTGCTCGGTAAGGGTTAAAAAGCACCAACTTCGTAGGAAAGTACCAACTTCGGCAGCCCTGGTTATTGACAGACAACTGGCTAATTGGCTAGGTAAACGACTTAGCCACTATGCCACAGAGTTGGCCACAGAAAGGAGGGAAACCAATCACACACATAGAGAAAGAGATAGGGAGATAGGGAGAGAGGCAGAGAGATATAGTAGTCAATGAGGGAGGTCTCATCTGTGTCTGCAGGAACCAGTCCTGTCTTGCTGGAAAGCAACTGGGTAACTCACTAGGTAAATTACTTAGCCACTATGCCATTGAGATCACAAAAGGGAGAGAAACTAATCTCTCTCTCTCTCTCTCTCTCTCTCTCTCACTCTCTCTCTCTCTCTCTCTCTCTCTCTCTCTCTCAAACACACACACACTCATGTATGTATGTATGTATGTATGTATGTATGTATGTATGTATGTATATATATATATATATATATATATATATATATATATATATATATATATATATATATATATATAGAGAGAGAGAGAGAGAGAGAGAGAGAGAGAGAGAGAGAGAGAGAGAGACAGAGACAGAGATGTCATAGTCAACACGGGAGATTACATCTGTGCCTGAAGGAACCAGTTCTGTCATGTTGGCATGTAACCTGGAAGGTTGTGCCATCAGTAAGCTGGAATTCAATCAGTGTAAACGCAGTAAAAGAAATATTGACCAGGCGAGGAAAATAAACATTTGAAACCAATATTCCCTGTTGGGTCAAAGCTTACAAAATCAAAATAATAATAATAATAATAATAGAAATCTCTTTTTCTTCTTCATCGTTTCTCTACTCCTGGAATACCTCGATGCGTCAGGGCAGGAAAAGCTCTCTGGAACCGGCCCTCATGTTAGCTTTGTATATAGTACTTTTTAGTGTCTGATATTTCTTCGGTCCATGTTCTGCGCGGTGGACCTCTGGATCTGTTACGGTGCCCTGTCTGATGTCATTCTTGTTACATGGC